GTTAATGCATATACTCCCTGAGTAGCTTTGTGCAAAGTTCGAACCAAACACATTACATAATTACCTTTTTTGTATTTTGTCTTCTTGACCTCTGTTCCTTCAGTTCACAAAGTTAAAGATAAATGTGCTTGAAATTGTAGCACTTTCTTTGTTTGTTTATATTATTTCTTTGTTAAGTGCTTACTTGCTTCATCAATTTCAAGTGCACAAACTACTATTTCACTTCAGCTTCTTATTTTGTTGTTCTGGACAAACTAGTTTTCTATATTTTAAACGTAAACTCAGCTCCCTGGCTGATGAGTCGATTTTTTTTTGTTAATTTTGTTAGTTTTGTTCTTGTATTGACTTTAGTTGTGAAGTTTTTACTCATCTTTCTGAAACCTTTTTTTTTCTGAAAATTTTAGAGAAGTCACATAATACTTAGTTTATCATAGTGTGAAAGCAAATCTGTATTTTTTATATTTTTTCTTTCAATAGTGTAGGTCTCTTAACTATTCATTTTACAAGGCTGTTCATTTATTTTTCTACTGGTGATTGACTGATAGTAAAGATCTCAAGGGCTTATTTTAATGTTTTAATTCTATCAGAATTTATTACATTGTTACATTTAATATTTGTTTGCCTATTTTGCATTAGCTTTTATTTTTTGAAATCTAAACTTGATTAAAAGAAAATATATGATGAGATGTACATCTGCATTTATATGAATTGTTTACCAACTGTTGATTATAAGAATTAAAAGCAGAATTTTTCTAACTTATTGCAGATCCACACGTAGGCTTCTTTTGCGTGTGTATTTGTGTTGAAGTAACTGTGTGATATCAAACTTCTTAGATTATAAAAAGACTTTATATGTTACAATTTATATATGTTTTGTTTTTGTCTTTGATGACTTGTATTTTGTTTAATTAGTTTATTTTGTGTGATGCAAATCATTATGTTTATAGAAGGATAATGAGTAAAGTCTTTGAATTTTTTTTTTCATTTTCATTAAAGCAAAGTCAAGTGGTAAATAGAAGTTAAACAGATCTGTTTGTTTAAGCATTTTAGTGAAACATTTTGTTATTGTTAGTATTAACGTTTTGTCAATATTTTAGTGCCTAAAGCATTTTGTATTTTCCATCAAAATATTTTCTTGCATTAGTATATAATACACTAAACAAATACAAGTAACAGTTGGTTCAGAAACCTTTTACAACAGAAGAGTTAGATCTTGCCTAAATAAATATTAAACTTGCAGTAAAACTATCTGAATTTAAAATTTTTATTGTGCAAGGAAATCCATTTTCTCTTTCATTTGTTTCATAATATGAATGTAGAATTACAACAGAGAATTGTTTTTATAACTAGAGATATAATGGAAGTTTATACAGTAACATTATTTATTAACTATCACAGCTTGCCTATTACAATTTTAATTTATTATTTTATATGTTCCAGAAATTTACTGATAGCTAAGTCTGACCAAACACAGGTAATATTTTTATGCATGAGGAAATGTTTGTTCCAATGCAGTGTATTGTCTTTGGCTAGCATGAGAAGTTATGTAGCATTAGATTGCTTTCATCTTATGATGCTTTTCCACTAATGACTAAAGTTGACACAAATAATTACAATAGCTGAACGTCTTAGTCCACCCATATTTGTTATTTTATTGAAGAGCTAAAAGACATTCTTGAATTGATTTTCCATAGATACTTTTCTGTTTATGAAGAGGGTACATAATTTTCTGCAACAGATTCATTGTATTAAAATATTTCAATACCCTTTATATATATTTTTCACCTGACTCAGTCCATTATTTAAAATATTTGTTTATTAATTATTATTTTAGTTCTTTTTCTCTTATTCTTTTACAAACTTTCATCATTTTCCAAGCCATCCATTTCCTTTCTGTTTATTGTCTTCTTGAGTCCATTTCCTTTCTGTTTATTGTCTTCTTGAGTCCATTTCCTTTCTGTTTTTTTTCACATTCCCATATATGTTTAATAGTCATATCCCTTTTCTTGCCTCCTCCATATTTCTGATCTTCATGTAGAAGAGATGTTTTTTTTACTACTAATGATGATACTAGGTGATTGTTTGTTTCAGTAGTTCATGAAATTTGGAATATTGTCTTTGGTGTATGTCCATTTTACTAATGTATCATCAATGTAACTGAGCTGAATCTTGGGTTTTAGAGTGGCTGTTCTGAGGACAGTATTTGTGTTATATATGTTGTTTTCTCTGTTTTAATAATTAATGTAGTGTGAACATTATATTTAATTGTCATCACTAGCTATATATTTTTAGTTATGATATTGGTAACTTGCACTGTGTAATAATTTTTTTAGTATATATAAATATTACAAAAAATATATTCTTTTAAAAATCAACAAATTAAAAATCTAGGGGAAGAGGGAAGGATAATTGTGATATTTTAAAAATCATTTCTTCTGTATTGTCATGTGATAATGATGTGGTTTTAGCATGCAAATGCTTCAGATGTTACTCTCCCATACCATGTGATGATGATGATGTGGTTTAAGCATGCAAATGCTTCAGATGTTACTCTCCCATATCATGTGATGATGATGATGTGGTTTAAGCATGCAAATGCTACAGATGTTACTCTCCAAAAAAGGTAATTATGTAATGTGTTTGGTTCGAACTTTGCACAAAGCTACTCAGGGAGTATATGCATTAACCAACCCTAATTTACCAGTAATAGACTACAGGGGAAGCAGCTAGTCAACGCCACCCACTGCCAACTCATGGACTATTCTTTTACTAGAGAATAGTGGGATTGACTGTAACATTATAATGCCCTCATGGCAGAAAGGCTAAGCATGTTTGGTGATAGGGATTCAAACCCATGACCTGCAGACATTAGTGCATCTGTCTTCCCACTTGATTTAAAGAATCTTCTGAAGACAGCATTGATGTTATTTCTCCAGGCCTTGAGGTGCCTGCAATACATGATCCAAGTCTTTAATTGCACTCATAAAGGTTATAATTTTTCAAATAAACGTGACTGTTTCATTTAAATTTAATATGAGAGTATTATTTTGTTTATACAGTGCAAATGTTAAAATAAGTTATTTTAAGAAGTAATAGTTATGGCAAGTTTGTTTATGTAGCTATTTACAAATCATTTGTTGTGTAGATCAATTATTGTGAATTGACGTCATGCTACACGAACCTTCTGAACTTTTCTTATTGCTTTAAGTGAATGTTGTTAGATTATTAAGTCTTGTAGTTTGTAGAAAGTTCTAGGCCTTAGTTGGAAAATACATATATATATATATATATAAGCAACCAAGTAAGGAAGTAAGTTAGTGAAAGTAAGACAAAGTTAGAGAGAAATAAAGTCAAATAAATCTAGACTGTGTTTGAAAGTTTAGCCATAAAAAAGAATGTATAGTGGCAACTTTTAAAGTGTAATAATCACAGATTGTATTGCAGTAACAGAATAGAGAAGAATAATTTGTCTTGTCAGTTGGGTTCTAAAATAACTGAACCAGCCAGTTTGGACTCTTGACAAAAAAACACAATTATTTAAAGCTCTGGATACAACTGAAGATATTAACTATGTAATGAACATTTGTACGTATGTTTAACTTATTTTAATATATATTATTTTAAAACAAGTGAATAGTGTGCTGTCCATATTTTGTAGTTCTTGTTTTGCACCTTCTGTAATGTGACAACATATATGTGGTGTTATCAGTATTCATTTGCAATATTTCTTTTTTCTCAACACATAACAGCAAATATCTGTGTTCTGTTTTAATTACATAATTTCGTTATATAATATAGTTAACAAGGAAGCAACATATGAATTACTTTACATTTAACCTCTTTTTTTTTTTTTTTCTCAGAGGAGTTCCACCGAGCTGTGAAAATCTGCACAGGTCATAACCTTGACAAGAATCTGGTCAACACAGTGTTTCAGGTTTTTGATTCTGATGGTGATGGTCACTTGTCATACAAAGAGTTCATTGCTATCATGAGAGATAGACTCCACCGTGGATTTCGAGTAAGTCTCATACATTCTTTTTCATTTCTGAGCAATAGTTCAGATTATATGATAAATGTCATCATAATTGTTTTTTTGTGTTTTTTATATTTCAAATGAAAGTTCAAAATTTATAAATGTTAAACAAAAAAAGAAATATTTGAGAAAGATATTTTTGATTTTACAATTAAAGCACCTTCTTTATGACTGACTTCTTTTTGTTAAAGAAACTCTAATGGTCACACACCACCTTTCAGAATATAAGCTTTTAAAATAATTGACAACTGAAACTAAATGGGTTTTAAACCAATAACTCTTCTGTAGTGAATTATTAACTACTGTATCTGTTATGTCTCAAGTCACAGTTTTCACTTCATTAGTTTTTAAAGCTGTAATTTGTAACAACTCTTGAGTTTTCTCACATCTATGTATAAAGCTCATAATATGAATTGTAATTTATTGGTTTGAAGTGCCACTTTTAAGTAACTTATACCATCCTATGAAGATGTTTACCAGGTGGTGCTCTTAAGTCACAAAGCCTGAAATTAACATGTAAAAATTTAATATTATCATTTCAAGTAACACTATATTCATCATAATTGTTTCTTATTAGGCATAGTCTATGTTAAAATAGTTTAAGAACAACAGCGTATTTGATGCTTATGCAATGTGCTGTACAAATACGAAACTGGAAAAATTTATTTTAAAATTTCAGTGAAATGAACATAACTAATTTGATTAATCACTTGAGTTAATAAGTAGTGAAGTGTGAGTTACATATTTGTTTATTAATTTTTTGGAATTATCCTAAAATTTTATAATTGATCTGAGAAAACATCCTTCTCCTGTATGAATTATTAAACGAACCTCAGTAATGAGTGCACATTAGGCCTAACATCATTTAATCTTCCTTCACATTAATAATGCAGTCTAAAGCTTGTTTGGCTAGTTTATATAGAAGTATTATTTTTAAACTGTATTAATACAGTGAATATTATAATGTTTTCAAACTCCTTTAACCCTATGTGTACAGGTGGAGATCAAAGTGCTTGTCATAACTTTTATAGAGTTATATTCAAAATTTAATTAAATAATTTTAATATCAATGTATGTCAATAAATTTGACAATGAGATGTAGTTTATAATTGAAATTTTAATGTTATATGTTTTTATTTTTGATTTAAAAGAAATATTTGAATATATGCTCATTCTTCACTTCTGTATGTCATATGATGTCTCTCTGCTCTGAATTGTCTGGTTTAGATTCTCTCTCTTCCCTCATAAGGGTGTCATATTGTTCATGAATTAAATACACCAACTGTAGATATTGACCTTATTTATTTTATGAAATTTCAATAAATTTGTTACACTTACCATAAAAGCTCCTCCCAGCTCTTCATGTTTTCAAAATTACTTATTTACTCACACTTTTTTGTCAGTTGTACATCCTTATAAACTTATAGCATCTTTATGTTAATTTATTTTGGCAAAAGGTGCCATTTCCTAAGCAAATTTTATGGCAAGTGTTTTTTTATTTTTTACTAATGTTTCACCTTTGCATCTTCATCAGGGTTACATACATAACTGTTTGATATTAAAATAATAACAATGATAGCTAATGGGATTATTTGATGTGTATATTAATCCTGCAGAAACCATAAAGGCAAAATATTGGTTAAAATAAGAATTATTCTATTATATACATATATCTGGAGTATAAAGGTTGTTTTTTATAAACTTTTTATCAAAATGTGTAAATCCCTCCAGTATGCACTATAAATTTTGAAAGACAACAAAAAAAAATTTTTATTCAGTGGAGACTGAAGTTGATACTCCAGTAAGTAATGACATTTTTGAAACCTTTTTATAGGTCAACTGTTTTACTGTTTGTGTTTTAAAATGTGTATTTCGAAGTTATTTGAATTATTTTTTTGGACATTCAACTTAATGAGAGAAATTTAGGGTTAATTTAGGTCCTCATTCTTGAAATAAGTGTTGAATTTTGTATGTTTTTCTAACATTCATGTATATATTTTTCAAGAAAAGTAACTAAAATTTTAAATGTACTAGGTTAGTTAAAAAAAACGAAATATAAAATATTTTTACCTCAAGTAATGCACAAATAACATAGGTATTTAGACATCGTGTGATATAACCTGAATTTTTTTTTACCCTAAACTCTCTGCACTCACACTGGATGACATTACTGTTCGTGGTAGTTAGGCCTGGTTCAAAGAGCAATAAAACAAGAAAGTTAGATGGAGATGTAAACTGTTACTAGCCTAAGGCTATTTATAATAAATAATTGTAATTTTCTGTTACATAACAACCTGTAATCATTCTAGAAAGTAAAAAGGAGTAATTTAGATATATTTCATATTTTTTGTGATGGTTTCATGTATAATGTTAATGTAGAGAAAATGACATAAAAAATAAATCTTTACTGAAAGAAAACTTGATATTCATTTAGAAGGCTCTAGGTGTTATGTAAATGAAATATGAAACTCTAAGATGGAAAAAAAGTATTTTTGTTCTTAACATGAAAATTACCATGCGTTCATTCTAGACAGAGTCTGAATCAGACTGAGTAATTTGAACTTAGAGCAAAACTTTAGTAGATGTACTTTAATAAAAGTTCTGATTTTTTGTGTACAATATACTTCTAATGTTTACTGGAAGGTTACCAAATTTCTTGAAGCATCACATTTCTCACATACATTATTCTGAAGTTCACAAGAAACGAAAAATACCACATGCCTTATACCTTACACAAGCAGAACTGTCATGTATAAAGTAAGAAAATTAGCTTTTCAAAGTGTCATTATTATCAATATAATATGTAAACCAATAAAATATTTTAAATTAAAATTAGTTGATGTCTTCCACCAATACAGGCAGTATAGCATTTTCTAGGTTCTCTGGAATTCTATATTATGGAAAGATGTTCCTGACTTCCTTTACCTTTACCAATGGTCCAAGTCTAGTGCTAAAAATACTTACACAATGATGCTAAAACTCCACCACTTTGCATGGCTGGGAAGACACAGTTATATCTCAAGTGTTCTCATTTTGTTAAATGAATCTATCCAAAGCAAATAATTAGCATTGAAAAATCATCACTCCAAGTAATGGTTTTATATTGTTATACCCAATTTCAGTGCTCAACGCACCATAAGAGCTGCCACCTTGCTTTCACAGCTGTGTTCAGTGGTTTATGATATGAAATTTAGGCTTTATTGGTGAATTTCTAGTAAAGTTCTTGATGATAAATATTTATTGCCAAATGTACATTTTAATTTCACAGTTCACTTTGACCACAAAATGATAAAATATTGGTTAGGCTGGTATTTCTCATAAGTAAATCTGTTGCCCTTCCATTTCTTCAGCATCTTACCTGCAGAGAATGAAACATCTTGGACTTTCACACTATCCAATAACTGTTTCTTTTTGAAGTTATTTTTCTTGCGTATTGATACAACTGTCTGGAAAACTGCTGACTTTTATAAGTCTTTTGTTGTAGGGTACCATGAGAGTTACCTGGAAATGCAATGAAAACTAACATATTCTGAGGTTGAGTTTTTTTTATTCTAATACTTTTGGTTATGTAGTGTAAGAGTATTTTTTGTGTATATATATATATATATATATACATGTTTATTACTAGAGTTGTTACATTGAATCTCAATAAAATTAGCTGAATTATTTGTATTTACCTTTTTCTTTTAAGCCTTGTCACATAATCAGTAGTTTAAATTTTGGTAAGATATTAAGTTGTCTTAGAAATAAATTGTAATACATAGATGTTGAACTTAGATCATAATAGTTTTAGGTTTCATAGCCCTATGTATGTATTATTTCAGATTTATTGAAAGAAAAAGCCTTATTAATTTTCATATCACTGATATTTTTGGCTATCATGAAAGGGTATTTTATTGATTCTTCACATTTATAAGGTTGCTAAGTTTTTTCTTTTAAGGCAACATCAAGTTGCAATAATTCAATATTTGGATTATGGATCTATAGCAGAGGTTCTCGAACTGGAGGTTTATAATATGGTTTTGGTATAATTGCAGCACATACAAAAATATGCCTTCCGAAGTGACTCTGACAACACAAAAAGATGTCCATTCTAACAGTATGCATCATTATAACAGAAAAAGGGGTAATTTTTGTTTAGAACAAAGTAATCAACTATGACCTAAATGAGTTACTTCATTTCTGTGGATTCACTGGATTAGATAAATAGCATGATAAGAAATTTAATATATATGTGTAAATGATAAACCAGATAAAGAAATGTAGGCACACATAACTTGTAATATGTATGCCATGCAATCAAGGAGCATACAGTTTGTATATAAAAAGCAAATAGGTACATTTGTTGCAACATGTCTGTATTACAAAAAAAACAACACAGAAAATTTGTATTATATGCATTACAGTTAATTGACAGCACTTTGCAACAGCAGATGCTAGTGTACAAGGCATGTCTGCAGATTACCTGCATATCAGCTGTACAGTTACTGTGCATATTGTAAACATGATAATTGCAGATAGTCAGGTTACTTATGGGTTCCTAGTTAGAATGGTTAATAATGTCATGGGGCTTTTAATTAAGAGAGTTTGGGAACTCCTGATTTATGATATCCCATGATAGTTTGTGTTCTTCTTACTTATAAGTGCTTACATTTAAACTGATGAAAGATATAGATGGTTAATGGTTTTCACAAATGTACAACCATTAGTATTTTTTGAGCAGATATTCAAAAAGCAGCTGATTAGTGATCTCTGTTTCATCAACCATGACAGTACTTTACCAACCCAATATTCATTATTATTTTCTGAAAAAAGTTTAATTTTTTGTATATTTTTAAACATTGATTTTTGTGAAAAAGTTAAAGACTTCTTTTTTTTCACATTTTAGTCACATCTTGTGAAGAATGAAGGATGGGAAGCATTTAAAACATGTGTGAAAAATGAAATGAAATCATGAGTGATGAAAACTTCAATGAACATCTTTCTTCCCATTATAGGATAGTTTTAAAAACTGCAAATCTTTTTGTTGTTGCTATAGTTACATAAAGCTTAAATGGTCTTATTTGCTTTATAAAACTATAATACTTTTACTCTAACTTATAGTTCTTTTGCAAACTGTTGTGTTGTTAGTTAATGTTATTTCTGAAATCAAGAAAATGTACTATTATCAGTACTCTGCAAATCCAAAATACTAACTTCCAGGTTAAATAAACAAAATCAAAAATATAAAGTGACTTAAAGAAGTATTTTGAGTGGTTAATAATGATAATGAAACAAGCATTAAAAAAATCAACAAAAAAGGGGTCTAACTTTGGGATAGTCTTGATTCCCCTCCTCTTGGAACTGAAGGAATAAAGGTCAGGAAAGCAAAATATATATATGGTGAGTCACTTAAATATGATGACACTAATGGCAGTACGTACTGACAAATGTGAGTAATGAGTTAGGTTTTAGTTGTACAAGTCCAAATAAATTATTAGTTTTAAAAAGTTAAAAGTTTTCCATTAATTTACAATTACCAATGGCTAAAGACTTACCTAGACAAATATGGCTTTGCCTCGTAAAGGAACAATACCATTAAAGTTATACTCTTGGCATACTTATTTAGGTTGTTTTTGACAAATATTGAATGCTATTAAACATCATGATAACTGTAAAAATGTGAAAAGCTTTGCATAGAAAACATAACATTATGGATGAAATAAATGAGTCTTTTGTAATTTCAATTCATTGCAATCTTATATCTTCTGTTTGCACATCATTTTAACATCTTTGCTCATTATCATACTTATGGTGCAATCTTATATCTTCTGTTTACACGTCATTTTAACACCTTTGCTCATTATCATACTTATGGTGCAATCTTATATCTACTGTTTACACGTCATTTTAACACCTTTGCTCATTATCATACTTATGGTGCAATCTTATATCTTCTGTTTACACGTCATTTTAACACCTTTGCTCATTATCATACTTATGGAAAACTAGAGAAATAGTTTTAGAATATGTTAATATATTTCTGGAATATCATACCCTTTATTTCTTTATAGAATTTTAATTACAGTAAATAGGAGTAATGACACATTCGTATTTTTTGTACTTTGTATTTAAGAACTTTATTTTTAAGCTAATTTATTGTATTTTAAAATGTGTAAAATTAAACAAAAATTAAATATTTTCTTTTATTCTTTAAAAACAATTTATCATTTCTTTAAAATATTTTTAGAATCTCTTTTAGAAGATTTCTGGCCTAACTAAAAATAAGTAACATCTCAAATGTTTTCCAGTTGTCACTCATTCAGAAAGCATCAACCAATAGTGTCAGTGTTAATTTGGCATCAATTATTAACAAGCTCCTTTTGTCAGAATTTTCCATGTGAATTGTATTGCATTTTCCAGTTGAAAAGTAATAATTGTTTATTCAAAAGAACATCTGACTCTTTGACAGTTCAAACTCCACTGCTTTAAGTCCTATTTTATAATAACTGTTTCTAATGAACCTATAGTAGCTGTTTATCATAAATTGTGTAAACCAATAAGAAAACTCTTGTAATTTTCGTACCAGTGATTTTTTTACAATGCTTCAAAGTTATTTCTTTAAGTAGGTTTTAGGATAATATATCTATGATGCTTTAGTTTACTGTCTTCAAGCCGATAACTCCCTAAACTTCATCATCTGCTTTCTCTGATATTAACACAGTCGTTATCTCTGATGCTTTAGTTTACTGTCTTCAAATTGATAACTACCTAAACTTCATCATCTGCCTTCTCTGATATTAACACAGTCGTTATCTCTGATGCTTTAGTTTACTGTCTTCAAATTGATAACTACCTAAACTTCATCATCTGCCTTCTCTGATATTAACACAGTCGTTATCTCTGATGCTTTAGTTTACTGTCTTCAAACTGATAACTACCTAAACTTAACCTCGCCTACTTTGACATAAACAGTTTTGTTCCTGATTACATGTGGCTTGGTGATTACTGCATTCAACTCACAATCAGCATTATGTCTAAAGCCAGCACCAGCAGCATTAATGTCTAAAGCCAGCACCAGCAGCATTAATGTCTAAAGCCAGCACCAGCAGCATTAATGTCAAGTCACAGTGCTTCAAAATGAAGATGCATAGAAATATCAGCATGATTAAAATGTGATGTTTGTTATACAAAAAAGCAATACATTTACTCTATCAGTAGCATAACTAGGGAGGGCTAAATCTGATAATATGACTTGGGATTATTATAAACAGGATTGTTTTTTGCTTTATGATTATATATAGTGGAGGGGAGCAGTTTTTCAAACTTGCCCCAAGCACTAAACCATCTAGTTATGCCAATGTACTGTGTATTTTGTATTCTGTAAATAAGTCATTGGTTTGAACAAAATAATGATTTATGTGAAGATAATGATATGAACTGCTAAGTTTATGTACATATAATTTTTGATTACCAGTTGCAATTCCACCCTTACATTTATTGATCAATAACATATTATTAATAAAGTGTCCATTGTATTCGAAGTGATTCAACTATCCTGATATTTTAAGTCCAAAAGAACTTCATTACAAGGTTTCAGTGTACCAACATTGCTGAAAATTGAACTAAAGCTGAATAATACTATGAAAATAAAAAATATTGTTTAAAAATCTTAACCAAAGTTATTGAAACAAATTATATAAGTTATATATAGAGAACTGAGTTTCTCTGCAGAGAAAGAGCTCAATTTTTGAAACACTGTTGTATGTTTTATAGATTTTGTGTCAATTTTATGGACATGTAAAAACTGAACAAATAGATAGGAAAAAAAAATTACAATTTTAAGGGAAAGTAGGGATCATTGGTTATTCATATAATTGTTACAAGAAATATTCAAAACAAAATAAATGCTGCAATAAAAAGTACACAAAAATAACTGAGAGTAAGGATCTCCCAAGTGTTGGTTGCAATAATGCATTTTTTCATGTTGGCCTTGACATCCATGAAACATTTCTTCTGTCCACTTCTTGTCTACTGGTCTTCACTTAGCCGAGACAAGAAAAATTGCTTTGAGAGGTGGGAATCAGGCATAAAGGATAATGTGACCTACCCAGCAAAGTTTGTGACAAATGATCATTGCATTAATGCTGCTGGTGCTGGCTTTGGACATTAATGCTGCTGGTGCTGGCTTTAGAAGTGACTATATCATAAATCACTCTGAAGGTCTGTTAACAGTTTATATGTACATCTCTACTGTGAAGATTATTCTCAGAAAACTCATCATAAATAGCACAGTGCAAGTATTTTGTGGTC